TTAGAAAGTCATATATCTTCTTATTCCAAGCTCTTGGAGCTTGCTTAAGTCCATACAGGCCTTTATGCAGCTTGTACACCTTTCGTTCTCCGCCTTGTTTCACAGATCCAGCTGGTTGTGTAACATAAACTTCTTCGTCTAAGGGGTCATTCAGGAATGCACATTTTACATCCATCTAACATACCTTCCAGCTGTTTATGTTTGCAAGACCAAGAACCAACCTGATTGTTTCGATCCTATCAACGGGTGCAAAAAATTTGTCGAAGTCGGTTCCTTCTTTCTGAAGAAATCCTTTCGTCACAAGTCTCACCTTATGTCGAGTTACAACTCCTTTAGGATTAACCTTCACCTTGTAAACCCATTTCGCATCAATTGCCTTCTTGCCTTGAGGCAATTCGATAAGTGATCAAGTGATGTTGACTTCGATAGACTCTAACTCCTCATTCATTGCTTTCACCCACTTCAAATCTTGTAATGCCTCAGCTAGATTGACTGGTTCAACATCTGTACAGAAAGCATAGTGTACCAGCTCACCTTCTTCATTGACTACATCATCAGATGTAATCACACACTCTTGCAACCTTGCAGGCATGCGTCTTGTTCGTTGAAGACTTCTTGGGCCAACATCACCTTGGATTTCTTCTTGTCGAACTTCTCTTTCGACTTCACTAGTTGGTTCTTCAAATAAGATTCTCACTGAATCCTTTTTAAAATTCTCAGCATAATACCATTCCTTAAGCTCATCTATGATCGTGTCCCTGCTGATAACTACTTGCTTATTCACTAGGTCGAACAACTTGTATCCTCTAGTCGAATGATATCCTATTAAGATAATTTGACTCGACTTGTCATCAAGTTTTATTCTCAACTAATCTGGCACATGTCTATGTGTTATAGATTCAAACACCTTTAAATGACTTAGACCAGGCTTGACACCAGACCAACATTCTTCTGGCTTGATTCCTTTTAGCTTCTTTGTTGGACATCTATTTAAGATGTATGTTGTTGTCGACACAGCTTCTCCCCATATTTCTTTGGGTAGATTTTTCCTTTCAACATACTTCTCACCATATTCATGATGGTTCTATTCTTCCTTTCTGCAATTCCATTCTGCTGTGGAATGTAGGGTGGCGCCACCTCAGGCATAATCCCTTCTTTCTCACATGATATATCAAAATCTTTCGACACATACTCTCAACCACCATCAGTCCTTAGAATCTTTATCTTTCAACCATTTTGTCTTTCAACCATAGATTTAAATTTGGCAAATACCTCGATCATTTCACTTTTCTTCTTGATTAGGTAAGTCCACAGTTTTCGACTGAAATCTTCTATGAACATGACAAAGTATCTGTTACCTCTAATCGAATCCACCTAGATAGAACTACATACATCAGATTATATGACTTCAAGAATTTCTTTCGAGTTGCTTCCTGCATTCTTGCTGAAGTTATTCTTGTGTTGTTTTTCCTAAACAAATTCTTCATACACTTCTCTTGGAATGTCGAATTTTGGTAATTCTGAAACCATATTTCTTCTCTTCAACTCTCTGATGTCTTTGAAGTTGAGATGGCCAAGTCGATAATGCCATATTAATTCATCTCAGCTGGCTGCAGTTGCAAGGCACTTATGCTCCATCACATTAAGCTCAAACTTGAAGGTTCTATTTTGAGACATAGGATCCTTCAAAATTAACCTTCCCCATGAGTCGAGAACTCTCATCATCTTGTCTTTGATCGACACCTTATAGTTCTTTTCGGCCAACTGCCCTATGCTGAGAAAATTAATTTTCATGTCTGTTATGATAATACATTGGAAATTATTGACCTCTTGTCATCTTTCCTCATAATCATAACATCACCAATACCTTCAGCTGCTAGAGTATTGTCATTTGCAAATTTCACCATGTTCTTCATTGATAGATTTATATTGACAAACCAATCTTTCCTTCCAGTCATGTGTTATGAGCATCTTGAGTCCAAGTACCATTGGTTCTGAAATCTTTCTGCATCTCTTATTGTGACCATCAACAACATCTCTTCTTCTTCATGTTTCGTCAACTTTGCATCAGTTTCTTGATTGTTCTTCTTTTCTGGACAATCACTAAAATAGTGACCATACTTCTGACAATTGTAACACTGAATGTGACTTTTGTCAGATTTTCAACCACCCCTTTTTCCTCTACCTATAACACCACCTCTTTGGTTGCCTTGGTTCTAGGGTTTTCTCTGATTCGACCAGGTTCTCTTGTTGATTTCGACTAGTCAAATTGTTGCCGCCTTCTCTGTCTTTTTTTCCATTCCAACCTCCTTTGCCTTTTTTTTACTGGGCCTACAAAGCCATATCACTCTTTGACTTTACTACAACTCTTTCACCCATCCTTTGTTCATGAGACTCAAACGTCCCTTGAAGTTCTTCCTTCGTCAATGCTGACAAGTCTTTCGACTCTTTTATGGCTACTACCACGCGGTCAAACTTTGGAGACAATGACCTCATTATCTTTGCAACAACTGATCTTAATGTCAATACTTCTCCACATACGCTGATTTGATTCACCAATTTAGTAACCCTAGTGAAGAAATCGGTTATGCTCTCACTTTCTTCCATCCGAAGCAATTTATACGTCCTTTTGTAAGTTTGTAAACTCACCTCTTTCACCTTCTCTGCGCCTCTAAATGATTTCCCCAAAATTTCCCATGCTTCTTTCGTTGATACTACATCACTAACCTTTTCAAAGTTATCTAGATCAACATATTGATGTATTATAAAGAGAGCTTCATAATCTTTCTTCTTCAATTCTTTATATGCAGCCTTTTCTTGATCCTTCGCATTTTCTGCAAGCGGTGCTACTCATCCCTTCACAAGATCCCAAAGATCTTGATAACAGAAAACTACCTTTATCTGCTTGCACCAATTTTCATAATTATTGTTCTTGAGAATTGGAAGGTTCTCCAGAAAATGCCTGTTTAGATGATTCACCGCCGTCGTGATTTTCTTCCCTCGAATCAAAAACGGAGCTCTAGATACTAGATGTTGGAATTAACCCAAAAATTTTTAAGAATTCCTAATCAATCTTGATTTCAAGAATGATTATGTGCAACAACTGTTAATGAAAACGAGAAATAAAGAAAGAGTTTGATAAAATTAAAGGAAGAAGAGAATGATTTTCAACTGCGGAATCTCCGCCCACAAATTGTGAGAAACTTCTTTTATTTACTTTGTAACTGCAAACTTCTGTGGATACAAGTTATTACAAAATAGGGTTTACTCCCTCTATTTATAATAGAAGAAATCTCAAAATTACAAAATCCCAAAACCACTAGTTTTGGTCTAAGTCGAAATTTGTGTCAAGCAATCTGCTTCAACACTTCGACATATAAACAACTTGACTCAAACATACATTAGAATAATTCTACAAATCCTTGTTTTGTCGAGCTACACTACTTCGACACAAGGAATTATAGTTTCAACACAAAGGACGTGAATCTGCAATTAGTTTCTCTTAATAATCTCCTTGAAAGAAAATGTAAACAAAATTGGAACCTCTCTCATGATTCTTGTCAATTTTATCTGATTTTAGTAGATAAATCAATATCAATTGAACTCATGCAAAATATTCAAAAGATCTCTCTAGAGGCCACTTACTTATTGCAACATCCAAACACACTGACGTTCCGAGACAACAAGCAATTGCAAAGATAATATTATGAGTCCAATATTCCTAAGGCAATTCTAGAAAACAAACTCAAAATTGAACTGTTGTCTATTTGTGATTATTTGAATTAAAATCGAGATTCCAAACTAACAATTTGAGAAAATAATCTTTAGACTTTAAAAAACCACTACATTAGCATACTAGACATCCTATGAAAGGAAATCGCGATATAAAATACAACGGAAAATAAAAAAATTTAAGTTGTTCCTTACAAATGATGCATGATCAGTTATAGAACATTTACCTCTTGTCGCGACTAAAAACTTTGATGCAGAACCGAAGGAATGATCAAGAGCATTGAATGAAGAACAATACATATACTCAGTCCATGTAAACAGAGAATCTTCAATCTTCAGTGCTAGCTGTTATGAATGAAAATTTTGAGTGAGTGAGAGAGAGAGAGAGAGAGAGAGAGAGAGAGAGAGAGAGAGAGAGAGAGAAATTATGGTAAGGGTTTCCCAAACCTAATTTCATCAATTGTGAAAGCTTTTACACAAGGGTTCTATTTATAGAACCACTTTTATGGATAATAAGCTGAAAAAACCCAACATATGTGCACCATCTGTATAATAATAATAATAATAATAATAATAATAATAATAATAATAATAATAATAATAATAATAATAATAATAATAATAATAATAATAATGATTAAATATGTTTTTAGTCCCTATGAATAAGCCATAATCTAGTTTTAGTCCCTCTAACATTTTTGTTCAAATATTTGTCCTTCAAAACTTTTCTGTCTCTATTTTTCATCCCTGACGTCTATTACATTTGACGGAATCTTATGTGGCGGATGAGTTGGCATTTTTTTTATTAATTTTGAGAAGATGAATGGATGATTAAGCACGTGCTGCTGAACATATTATGTGCCACCTAAGTTCCTTTATTAGTTTAGTAAACACATAGCACCAAAAACCCTAAATCATTCTCACGCCCAAAATCAACTCCATTCTTCTTCAACTTCTTGTGTTTTCTTTATGGAACATACTGTCAGAGACACATTGTATTTTTTACTTTGTTTTCAAAAATTTGACTCCCTTATCATTGTGATTGGTTTGCTTTGTGATCCCAGCATTTGCGTGAAAGGTGCTCGCTTTGTGGTCTTTCAACATTGGAACTGAGGTAGGTCCACGTGTTCCTTTTTAGATTATAATTTATTAAAGTTTAGCATAGTGATCTTATTTTACTGGTAGATATTAGGTTATTAAGGTTTGTATGCATACAATAGTCATTTAATGGGTCCATGTTTGACTGTATTTCCATCCATTATGTAGGGATGAGTGTTTTTAAAGTAATATTTTACACGAAGGGATATTTTGTAAAAGACACAATGCTAAAGTATGAGGGTGGGGAAGTTTATGCCTTTAATGGTCAAGATAACGAGTCATGGTCATTTTTTGAGGCATGTGATTTAATTAAGGGAATGGATCATGGGTTTGAGTACAACAATGTTAAGATGTGGTGGAAACATGGTGATGGTACTTTAAAAAATGCCCTAAGACCTTTTAGGGATGATGGTGAGGTTGAAATATACACGGAGGCTAAACCTAGTATAGGGAATGAAACCTTTATGGAGAATGCAAGAAAGAAGAACAAGGATAAAATATGTGAAGATGAGGTTGATTTAAATACTGATGAGGGTTCTAGTGATGAAGATGTGAAGGATGTCAAATTTGAGGATAGTGAAGAAGAAAGGACGAAGGGTTTTGATGAGTAATTTGTTAGTCAACCTAGAAACATACCTGCTGCAGATGTAGCAGGCTCTAGTGAGGCAGTGAGAACGACTCTTATTACACCAAAGATGGGAAAGAAACATGTAATTAAAGATGAGAATCTTACTGATGAGCTTGATAGTGGTGCTAAAGATGATAATGGTGATGATAGGCCAAGAGTTGTTAGGTTCAATGAGGAAGATGGGATTACAAAAGAATATAAATTCAAGGTTGGAATGGAGTTTTCATCTCTAAGGTAGTTTAAGAGTGCTATTTTGAAACATAATGTATTGAATGGTAGCGAAATCAGATTTGTAAAAAATGATACAGTGAGATGTATGGTGGTTTGCAAGGAAAAGTCACAACGCAATTACACTGTACTATGCAGTAAAGTCCTAACATCAAAAACATTTAGAATTAAGACCTTGTATGATAAACATAAGTGTGAAAGACAATTTTTTTACAAGAGTGCCAAAGCTGTCTGGGTTGCAAAAGTGATAGTTGATAGGATGAAGAACAATAACAAAATGAAGTTGAATGATGTAATTACAGATGTTAGGGTGAGGTATGCAATTGAAATCCCTGGTTGTAGGGCATTTAAGGCAATACATATTGCCAAAAGGATAGTGGAGGGAGACTCTAGTAAATAATATAGTTTGTTATGGTCATATGGGGCTGAATTGAGGAGGGCTTCACAAGGAAATACTTTTAAGATGAACATTCAATCTCCTAGTCCAGGTTTACTACCGAGGTTTGAAAGGTGTTACATGTCCTTTGATGGTACGAAGAAAGCTTTGAAATTAGCTTGTAGGCCATTTATTGGATTAGATGGTTGTCATCTAAAACACAAGTATGGTGGGATATTGTTAATAGCTGTAAGAAGAGACCCTAATGACCAGTATTTACCAATTGCCTTTGGGGTGATAGAAATTGAGTCAAAGGACACTTGGAGTTGGTTTATGAAGTTACTCCTTGAAGACATTGGTGAAAAAAGGCGGTGTTTCATATCTGACCAATAAAAGGCAAGTACACTTCTAATTCAGTTTGGTTTTTAGATGCTTGTTACTTCCATTACTTCCATTGCTTGAACTGGTGTTTATACTGTTTGGTTTTTTCAAGGTCTTGTACAGGTGTTTGAGGAGCAATACCCAGCTTTTGAACATATATTATGTGTTAGGCATCTGTATGCTAACTTAAAAAAAAAAGTTTTGGAGGTGGTACCCTATTTAGGGATCTAATGATGGATACAGCAAAGGAAACCTATCTTGCTTCAAAGGGACAAACCAATTATAACAAGGTTTGAATGGATTAGGTCATATCTTATGGGTAGGTTTGAAACTTTAAGGGAAAAGGTTAATGGGTAGGATCATGTCAAAACCACAAAAGAGATTGGATAGAGAGATTGAAAAGAGTGCAAGTTCGACAACCACTTATGTTTGAAAATTGATATTCCAAGTTACCCATGTCATGTTTGTTGATAGCTTTGTGGGTGATTTGGCTAATCAAACATCTTTATGTAATTTTTGGGATCTCATTGGAATTCCATGTAGACATGCAGTTGTTGTAATCCATAGGAAAGTTGATGATCCCATTAATTATGTCCATAAGTGTTATCACATGTCGACTTATGTAAAATGTTATGAGAAAGGTATCACTCCTTTGAATGGCCAAAATAAGTGGCCCAAAACTAATGATCCAGTAATTTACCCACCCATGTTCAAAAGAGGCCTAAGGAGGCCAAAAAAACATAGAAAAAGGGAACCTGATGAATCCAATGCTACCAAGTGGAAAAGAACTAATACTATTTATAGGTGTAAGACATGTTTGGAGTATGGTCATAACACTAGGACATGTAAGAAATACAAAAATATTGTGCTACACAAGAACCAAGATGTAATAACAAATGAGGTACCTACAAATGAGGCACCTACATAGGAAAGTCAAACTGGGAATGTTCAAAAGGCAACATCAACAAAGGTTAGTCTTGTGTTTATGGGTAATTGTATATAGTTTATTCTTGTTTGTATGTTATGAGTAACTGTAAACTGTTTTTCAGGGGAGGCCTAAGGGGTCATTGAATAAGAAAGTCAAAGTGGCACCAAGCAAGGCACCAAGAAATGCACCAAGCAAGGCATCTAACAAGTTACCAAGCCAGCTACCAAGCAAGGCACAAAGTCAGCCACCAAGTAAGGGTAAGACTGCTCAACCTCAAGTCATAGACCAGATAAATGAGGCACCAAGTCAAGCTTCAGTCCAAGGTTCTCATGCTGCTCAACCACCAACAGATATACAAACTGCACTACCACCACCAACAGATCCATAAACTGCACTACCACCACCAAGTCCTCATGCTGATACTACACCACCAGCAACAGATGCTCAGGCTGCACAACCCATAGCTTATGATACTGCACCACCACCAAGTACAGATAGAAGAGACTATCTCAATGACATGGATCCAGATGTTCTCGAAGCAATTCTAAATGATATCAACAATGGAATGGATATTGTTCTTCACATTCAACCTCTTACAGTTGACTTAAGCCCTATCAAATAGGCTACTATAAACACAAATCCTTCAATGTCTGGTGGTTAGAAGACCTTCTTTGGTAGTGCACCAAAAGTCAAACCCTCCAAAGCATTCAAACATCCAGGAAAGGTCAAGGAAACCTTCAGTGATCCTATAAGTTAGGTCAAGTTTATTCATGGTTGTTTTTTAGGTCAACATTAAGTTACTCAAGTTTATTCATGGTTGTTTTTTAGGAAAAGTCTATGATGCTAAAGAAGAAAAAAGTCCCAGGAGCTGTGAGTCAAACCAGAAAGAGTGAAAGACTCAAGACTATAACAACAAAAGACATCAAGGGGCCTGGAAAACAACCTGAAGATCGAGTTGTGATCACTGAAGATGATACATCAAAACAACCAAAACAAAAGGGAAGAAAAAGTTGGGAAGAAATTCAAAAAGGCTTGACTCAATGAGGATGAAGTTTGAAGAAGTTGAATGGTCTTATTTTTTTGGGCTATGTTACCATAACTGTGTTTTTTTCTAGACTTTGATTAAGTATGTTTTTTTGTCTATGATGTAACCTATGATCATCTGTACTCGATATACAATGACTTGTAATTTTCTTCATCCTTTTGGATCAAACTAAGTCCATGTGTTGAGATTGAATACTTTGAATTTCCTATGGTTTTAATGAAGTTATTTCATATCAATTTGTTTGCAAATTATGATGTCAAAAGTATTATCAAACTTTTAGGGGACATAATGCCAAAGATGAGGCAAAATTTAAGGAAACATCATGCCAAAATTTAAGATGTTATAAAGTAAAAAATTTAAATGTTATGAGTCAATTAAAAGACAAATTATAATTGAAACAAAAATCCAATAAAAATACACAGAAGCACAGTGATTAAACACAATTCTTATAAATTGAACATCCACAATTCCATTACATTGATCATCCAATATTCCATTACAAAGCATATCATGACAGAAACTACTTAGCATATCAATCCAAAATTCCATTACATTGATCATCCTAAATTCAACAATTACATTTCATAAATTGATACACATTAATCATAACAAAAAATACAAAGCATATCGTCTTGATTTTTCTAGCCTATTCCTCTGCTCTCAATTTTGCTTGCATCTTCATGTTCTTCTTCTTAGAACCTTCGCACAACTATCTCAACAAATCAATTGTATCCAATTTCTTCATCTTGTAATTTTTTACCTGATCAAAACCATTATCATCTTCTTCGACAAGATCTTCATCCCATACAAAAGGATCAACAGTTTCTTCACCCCGCCAAAAAGAACATCTCCAGAAAAGCCTGCCTTTATTGTGACCATTCTTGCAGACGTATGAAGCCATACGAGTATCACAACCGCAATTCCTTCCTCGACGGCGGCTTCACACAAATGACAAAGACATGCTTACAGGTTTCTAAGGACTTGTCCTTGAATACGACATCAAAGGAGTTGAAAGAGGGTGAAGACAAATGGAAGCTAAAGAAAAGGGCGAAGAGAAATGGAGGCTGAAGAAATGGAAAGCAAGAAGACGAAGACCAGAATCTGAAGATGAAATGAGACTAAAGAGAAAGAGGGGTGTACGAATGTGATTTGATGAAATTAGGTTAAGGATTCACAATCTATGTTGACCTACTGACTTGCTGACCTGTTATATGATGTGTCATTTCCTAGCAGACGTGAAAATCCAAACAGGTCCAAATAATTAAAAAAGAAAGCCAAATCAGCGTCCACGTAGGATGTTGCTAAGTGAAATAGACGACATGGATGAAATCTAGGGACAAAAATGTTTAGAAGGATGATTCTTTAAACGAAAATATTTAATCCTAATAATAATAATAATATATTATTATAATAACTATTATTATAATAAACACACTTTTATTATTATTATATTTAATAACAATTATATTAATAATAATAATAATAATAATAATAATAATAATAATAATAATAATTATTATTATTATTATTATTATTATTATAATTATTATTATTATATTTAAGAAAAAAAATACTATTTTTAGTTCCTTAACTTTATCTCGGAGTCCACTTTAATCGCTTAATTTTTAAAAAGACCAATATAGTCCCTTATTTCTTTTAACGACACCATTTAGGTCATTTCCGTCCAATTCTCACAAACAGCATTAATATTTGCTCGTATGGCATCTGACGTGATATATACTCATACGCGTGGCATCTGACATGGCGTATACTCATCACAAAGGTCGCCAAAATTCCAAAAATAAATCCTAAAAATTTTCTTTTGGCAAGAATTGAATCAAAGACATCATAGTTACTAAAAAAAAAAGTAATGCACCACTAGGCCACATCATATATTTATTTAAATAGTTTACAAATCATATACACATATTAACAAACTAGTGTATCCACACAACTAAAAATTAAACATGCACAATATTATTAAATTAATAAGCTACTTAATTAATAAGATACTTAAGCCTATTA